AAACTAGTTTATTCTTTCTTGATACGACTTGTTATACACAGAATTTCCACAGTCACTTTAAACTTAACAACCTTTATAACACACGCTATAAATCACAGCGGTTCACACACTTTACTTACGGTGACTGCTGTTCCTTTGACTCAATTATCTATCTCTTTGATTGCACTGGTTTTTCTCGCCAGGCTTATATACTAAAAAATAGAATGCCTCGAAGAAACTTGGAACTCCCTGATACTTCATGATCCTTTGAGAAACTCCAGTGCGCATGCTCCCAGCATCACGTGACTTTCTCTGTCGTAACACCCCCTTTGTTATATCTCTTGCTCTGTTAGTTATATCCTCTACCTGTGCCCCTGGGTAGCATAACCTGATTCTTTTTTACCTGTTTACCCCACAGACTATTCTATCCACATGCCTTATCAAGGAATCACCTATAACTATAACCTACTTATCACCCACATCCTTCTCTAACCTTTTGTTTTACTTCCCTCCAATAGTTCCCCATCTGTAGATGGCAAGGGCTGAAATTTGTTGCTCAGCAGAATAGGCTCATAATAACTAAATTCACCACTTTTAGCCCTAACAGTACTCTTTCTAACTTCCTTAAAGGCATTGTTAGTTGATGTATTCCTTGCATGTAAAAGCTTAAACTCCTCCTGAAATTCTGCTGCCATTTCTCACAATCTACACTTCTCTTTATCTATTGCATCTTTATTAATCATAATGCCTCTAACTTTTCCTCCAACCTACAAACTCTACATAAAAATTGTGCATATTCATTACTAGCTTCCTTAAAAGTACATTCCAGTCCTGAGTTCCCAAATAAAACTCAATCCTACACCCATTACATTTGCACCTAACAAACTGAGAATGCTTAACTCCTACACTAGTCTTAACCATTGTATTTATACTGTTACTGTTATAGCCTGAAAGTGAAAATAATACTCAATACCAAATACTAGTAGCTTATTGTTAACTCTGTTACTGTTAAACCTAGCATTTAAATTATATACTTTTAACACTACTTTGTCTTCACAGTAAAGTAATAAAGTTTATCTTTAATTATATAGAACTTGATTTATAAGAACAATATAAGTAACGTTAATAATAAAACATATTTACTTTAGCCTGATTTAGATTATAACCTACCTATATCTATAAAGTATAAGCTGAATTTAAAATAATGGATCTAAGTTCAAATAAACACCTTAATTTTAGAACACCAAGAAACAATAAACTAATTTTTAGATTGTATTTATTTAATAAAACAATTTATTTATCCTGTTTTACAATTTACTAGTAAGTATAAATATGCCTAAGCCTAAAGTACCGTTAAACGTACTAAGCTTATTTTAAGTTAAAATGTTGTAATAATAATTTACACCCCTAAACTCTAACTTAAAACTTGTAACGTCTTACTTTTGTTTACCAATCTTCTTATATCTAGTTATTATGGTGTTATTTAACCCAAGTTACTACAAATAATATTAAATAACTTTCAGAAATCTATGAGCTTACCTTTTCAATGTCCTCCCTTTTTTGTAGCGCCCTTTCGATTATGTGTGTGAGGGACATGGTTGGCAATTGACTGTGAATGATGTTACTGCTATTGTTCAACATTTCGTGGGTTCATTAATGTTTTGATTACCTCCTTCAGGTGTGTAATCCCCTCTTTCTCAACTCAACCATGACCACCTCCTGTGTGTGCACTGGGCTCGTCTTTACAGGGGATTACACATCTGGATAAGGAACAATACCCTCTATACCTTTCTCAACTCAACCATGAC